GCTGTTGGCACTTACGAAGCGAGAGGAGTTGTTGTTCCTGGTAGTCTTGGCGTTCCCGAAAGCCTCCAGCACGGGGTTTTTTCTGGATGATCTGGTCCTCCAGGGACCCCTGCCCCGGAGAGAAACACCAGCTGGGGTGGTCTGTGGGCTACTGCCTGGGGACTCAGGGCTTTCAGATGACTGTGGCTTATGTGCGAGGAATCAGGATGGAAACAGGTTTGGGAGGCTGGGAAATTGGGGCTGGAGGGGACCTGGGAGGAGGGCCACTGCCTGATGACTATCCCCCAGTAGCCCCTGCCATTGGAGGGGCAACTGGCAGATGACAGGACTTCATTCTTAGCTGTTGTTTCCTCACTGCTCATGATGGAGAGACTCCTGAGTGAGCTGAATACCCTTCCTTGGGCATCCCTGGTCACCCTCCTAACACTCCTTTTCTTTCTCAGCTTTTGACTGCTGCCACTGGCACAACTAATGCCCTCTGTAGCCCAGGACCTGAGTGTAAGATGTGGCCTGGGCAGCAGAATTCATCCTGTGGGAGAATACCCGGGTCTGCAGCCACTTTTCCCTGTGTGACCCCACCCAAGTCACTTCTCTCCAAGCCTCAGTTTTCTCGTCTGTAAAATGGCCCTAACCCACAGAGCAGACACTGCTATGTGTGCTGGCTGGGGATGGCAGATCCCGAGTCTGCCCAGTCAGCCCTACCTTCCCATCCGTGGACTGTTTGCCAGTTCCTCCGATATTGGCAAAGTACTGGATGACCTTCTTTGTGTTCTCAGTCTTGCCAGCACCAGATTCTCCACTGTGGGTGGAAAGGGGAGCAGACAAGTGAAGCATGAAGAGGGGAGTGGCAGCAGAGAAGTAGAGCAATAAAAGGTGCAGGTTGAGTGTGATCACATTTCACCCCTTAGCCCTGATAGACAGGTGGGGGGCTTCGGGACATGGAGGGTCCCCTTGGTTTAGCAGGTGCAGATTTACTAGTCCTGCTAAGACCACTTGCTGTCTACAGATTTCTGTACAAGATTCCACCAATTAATTTAAGAAGGCTTAATTACATATGTAAGACACAGAAGAGAAACTTACGTGATTAGCATAGACTGATTTTCACGATCTGCAGGGAATACAACAGCAATCAGAATATGTAATTAGGAAACACTTAGAAACTAGACACTTAACATCATCTTTTTCACCCATCCTGCATCCCACCCTACTTGGAGAATGGCCACAGAAGCCACTTGAGTCTGAAAACCCAGGATCCTGTGGGGTCCATGGCGACACGCCTGCCTCTGCATCAAGCATTTTTGTAGAAAGGGCCGAGAATTGACCAGCCACCCTGTTTCTTCCAGCCCCATCCCATAAAGCTACCTAGTCATAAGCAAAATAAAGAGAAATGATAATAAAAATCACTTCATGGGTCTCTGTACTGTATGGAAGAGATCATACAGGGAATGGTTAAATGTTGACTTGAGTTCTGGGCAAGTTACTTAACTTGGCATCCTGGCTTTTATGATGCTTAAATGAGGTAGGGCATGAGGTAGGGCTGGTACTTAGCAAACGCCCTGGGCACTCACTGAGCACTGGTACCTGGTATTGATATCACATGCTGTTGCTGCTCAACATTTAACAGAGAACTTCAGAGTTGAGATTGGATAGCATATGGTTCTAATGTATTTGGAGCAACAGTGGCAAAGGAGTATCCGTCACCCACTACAAGAGCCCCAGCAGGCCCCACCCTACGCACCCATGAGCATGTCGTGGTAGGCATTGTCTGAGATGGAGAAGAGGTGGGGTGGCATCTCTGTGCGCTTCTTGCCTTTGTACATGTTGGCCACTCGGGACCCGTAGATGGGCAGCCACCTGTAGGGGTTGACTGTCACGCAGAATAAGCCCAAGTAGGTCTGGTGGGAGGGACGGAAGATGGTTAGCTGGTCCTTCCTCTTGCTGCCCCCTTCGCTCTGGGCCCCAGCCTGTCATAGAGCAGCCTGGCTGGAGGTCACGGCCAGCCTGGAGAGAGGCCTGGTCTCCTCTCCGGGGGCAAAATCTATGTGTGAGTCTTTATTCAGTAAGCAAAACAAGTCTTCTCTTTAATATGTATTTGTTCCATTTTCTTTTGGTTTAGTTATTTGAATAGATAACAGTCACTGTATGGACAAATATGCTGCAAAAAGTTCTCCCAACTGCTTGGTGCCTGCCCTCTCCTCCCACACGTAAGTACTTGCTAATACCCCCTTCCACGGTTTCTGATGCATAAACAAATTCAGAAACACATTCTTATGCCCCACCTTGTTTTGAAAATGAAAGATGGTATTTCATAATAATGTTTTATGTCTTGCTTTCTCCACTTAATATATCTGGGAGACTTTTCCGTGAGAGTTCACAGAGAGATTTCTGGGGTGTTTTAACAGCCCCAAGTGCTCATGGTTTGGGCACGATCCCCTACCAGGTGGGCAGTTGGGTTTGACCTACTCTTAAAAAGAGACGTCAGCCTCTCTTTTTATCCCAAGGCAATTTTGTAAGAAAATCATCCCATTAAAAAAAAAAAAATCAGAAAAACAAAATGAGGCAGTAAAAGAAATGACCTGAGTGGGGAATAAGCGAAGGAAGAAATGGCCAAATCTGTGACTGCCCATCTGTGACCCCCAAACGTTTCCTTCTCCTCTCTGGACGCCCATATTGACCTGATGTCCCCACCCTGTGATTCTTTACAGTTCAACTTTAAGACCTTCCGCTTTGGTACAAGTGGGAANCCCTTCTCCTCTCTGGACGCCCGTATTGACCTGATGTCCCCACCCTGTGATTCTTTACAGTTCAACTTTAAGACCTTCCGCTTTGGTACAAGTGGGAATACCATTCCCCTCCCCATCCCCTCCAGGCCCAGCTTCTCCTTAGCATAGATGTGATATGTTGAGTATTAAAAGGAATCTTATTAAGAGTTGAAAGTATGATGCACAGCGTCTCATCCTGGGACTCCAACCATTGAATCACTCTTTCCCTCCAGCCCTGTCTCAGTGGGGGTGGG